AAAATAAAGAGGAGTTATCCTAGCATAGATTTATATGATAACATTCCATCAGTAGACATTATTTAAGAAATAGGAGGCAGACCTTGCATGTAAGGTACCGGCTGCGTATACCAGCCAGTACACAATCTGGCTACGTTAGTGTGTTAGCGCATGCGCAATATCTCACCAGAGGAGTTATATTTTGTGATGAGTATGCATTTAAAATGGTTAGGGTGTATCTCAGCAAAGATTTTCCTAAAAAAAACTTTGATCAGTAGACCTGTGTTTATAATTAGGAAAGCACCTTAGCACGTAGGGTACAAAACACCTACTTTATGCCCTCGCGTCCTTCCCCTTGACTCCCCTGCCCCTCGCTCAACCTCCTTCTTCTTCTACCGCCCCAGCTATCTTTCCTGCCGCATTTCCTCAGTCTCCCATCTTCTCTCTCCCCTCGGCAAGCTATATTATGAAGTTTGCCTCAGACGGCACAGCCCGCCTAACACGGTGCGTGCGCATGCGCAATATCTCCTGAGAGAAATCGTATTTAGCAAAGATTATGAATTTAAAATGAAGAGGAGTAATCCTAGCATATAATTATATAATAACATTCCATCACTAGACATCATTTAAGAAATAGGAGGAAGACCTTGCATGTAAGGTCCCGGCTGTGTATACCAGTCAGTACACAATCTGACTACGTTAGTGTGTTAACGCTTGCGCAATATCTCACCAGAGGCGTTGTATTTTGTGATGAATATGCATTTAAAATGGTTAGGGGGTATCTCAGCATAGATCTCCCTAATAAACTTTTATCAGTAGACCTGTGTTTATAATTAGGAGAGCGCCCTAGCATGTAGGGTACAAAACACCTACTTTATGCCCTCGCGTCCTTCCCCTTGCCTCCTCTGTCCCTCGCCCAACCTCCTTCTTCTTCTACCGCCCCAGCTGTATTCACTGCCGCATTGCCTCATTATCCTGCCCCTTCTCCCCCTCACAAAGCTATATTATGACGTTTGCCTCAGACGGCACTGCACGCCTAACACGGTGCGCGCGCATGCGCAATATCTCCCGAGAGAAATCGTATTTTGCAAAGATTATGCATGTAAAATGAAGAGGAATTATCCTAGCATATAATTATATGATAACATTCCATCATTCCATCACTAGACATAATTTAAGAGATAGGAGGAAGACCTTACATGTAAGGTCCCCGCTGCGTATACCAGCCAGTACACAATCTGGCTACGTTAGTGTGTTAGCGCATGCGCAATATCTCACCGGAGGAGTTATATTTTGTGATGAATATGTATTTAAAATGGATAGGGGGTATCTCAGCATAGATTTCCCTAATAAACTTTTATCAGTAGACCTGTGTTTATAATTACGAGAGCGCCCTAGCATGTAGGGTACAAAACACCTACTTTATGCCCTCGAGTCCTTCCCCTTGCTTCCTCTGTCCCTCACTCAGCCTCCTTCCGCTTCTACCGCCCCCAGCTGTCTTTCCTGCAGAATTTCTTTAGTCTCCCACCCCCTCTCTCCCATCGGCAAGCTATATTATAAAGTTTGCCTCAGATGGCACTGCACGCCTAACACGGTTCGCGCATGCGCAATATCTCCAGAGAGAAATCGTATTTTGCAAAGATTATGCATTTAAAATGAAGAGGAGTTATCCTAGCATAGATTTATATGATAACATTCCATCTGTAGACATCATTTAAGAAATAGGAGAAAGACCTTGCATGTAATGTCCCGGCTGTGTATACCAGCCAGTACACAATCTGACTACGTTAGTGTGTTAGCGCTTGCGCAATATCTCACCAGAGGCGTTGTATTTTGTGATGAATATGCATTTAAAATGGTTAGGGGGTATCTCAGCATAGATCTCCCTAATAAACTTTTATCAGTAGATATAGTTAGTATCGGACGAGTAAACTCGATCCGTTTGTGCGTTTTGGCTATATACACATTTCGAATAATTTCTCAGTTTCACAATGGGAAATATCGGATTTGCGCATGCCCGTTCGCGCCGAAAAATTATAGCATGAGGCGAAATTATGCATTCAACCTATTTTAGGGCTATCCGTCTATTGGAAAACATGGTAAAATTTGGCGACCGCCTGCGTATTTGCGAATCGCACAGCGCCATCTTTTTTGTACGGCATACGGCGATATGCACATAATATATACTTAATTATACCCACTCTTTCAGACGTCGCCTCTGCGACGGGCTAAGACGCTATCGAATTTTTTTTTATCGCATGCACCTAGTGCTGGCGACGTGCTCTCTAGGAAAATTGCAGAAATTGGGCGAAATACTGCCTCCGTCGGCAACTCTAGGGCATCCAGTAAACTCGATCCGTTTGTGCGTTTTGGCTATGCGTACACATTTCGAATAATTTCTGTTTCACAAGGGGAAATATTGGATTTGCGCATGCCCGTTCGCGCCGAAAATTAGAGGATGAGGCGAAATTATGCATTCAAACCATTTTCGGGCTATCCGCCTATAGGAAAATATGGTAAATATGGCAGAGCGGCATCTTTTTCGTCGGGCCGACGGCGATATGCACATAATATATACGTATACCCCCTCTTTCAGACGTCGCCTCTGCGACGGGGTGAGACGCTAGCGAAATTTTTTATCGCATGCACCTAGTGCTGGCGACGTGCTCTCTAGGGGAATTGCAGAAATTCAGCGAAATACTGCTTTCGTCGGCAACTCTAGGGCATCCAGTAAACTCGATACGTGTGTGCGTTTTGGCTATATACACATTTCGAATAATTTCTCAGTTTCACAAAGGGAAATATCGGATTTGCGCATGCTCTATGCTATCGCATGAGAGGGCGGAAATATCATTCAACAGAGCTTCGAGTTTGAAGGGTTTGGTAATGGTTTAACGCTTGGCATGTGTCTGACAACTATTCTAAAAACCATACACAAATACAATTGTAACAATTTACACACGCACATATGTACCCGTGTATATCTGCGGGTACTCTAACCCTCACAGTCGGTTAAGTTAGCTGTCCCGGGGATGGTATAGCGTTCTGGTTGGTTGGCTATAACACCCCCATTTAAACCAATTGGTAATCCGCTGAAAAATGTGTTGGAGCTAGCTAGCTGCCAGCCATATAGAACAAATTAGGATAAAATTTCGTTGATAAATGTTGAATATATAACGTAATTATGAATTTATAATAACGTATTTATAAATTTCCGGTCGGCTGTGTGTTTCTGCCTTGGTAACGATATTGTGGCGTGCTTCAATTGACTCTTCTTGCTCAACTCGTTTCAGGATGGCAGTCTTGCATCACAGCCTCGAGCTTACCGCAGATAGTTTGATCCGTTGCTATCACATTAACTGTACCACAATGTGTACAAAATAATATAACTAGCATTACTGCCTGGCTTCAGTAACCATGTTTTATCGGATTTCGATTTCCCCTATAAGCATCTCTCCGACGCATGGGCATGCTTTTCTTGCATATTATTATTTTTTTGTAATGCTTTATGGTCGCATTACATACTGTTCGTTTATGTCCGAGCACTATATGCATCACGTTCGCTGCTCCTTACTCAACAATTAAAACTTCCAAATTACTTTCAACTCTTTTGCAGTTGCTTCATCTCTTTCAGTATTGTTCCTACACGTTGAATATTTTATGGAGTATTCATAATCATCCGTATTTCGTTTAAGAATGATTGGATTGCAATAAATATATATAATATATATATATCTGAAGTAGATAATAGGGATTCTTATTATCTACTTCTGATATATATATACATATATATATATATTTTCCGCGTTCAAAGAGTCGTGAGAATACATCGCGAAGCTCGAGCCCTTATACCGGATTAGGCACTATGCGGGTTAACCAAAAGGCATGTGAGCGTGTGAAGAACAAATATGTCGTCGCGGGTTTGAGCAAGCGGCGCTTACACTGTCGGAAACCGTCCGTGTGCTGTGAATGCACGTAGTTAAGTACACTCCTCTGAATGAGCATTTCTTCGCACGGGCGGGCGGTGAATGAAACATAGGTCGCATATCACGGAACACGTTTCTTAACCCACCGTGTCAACACGATAAACATCTTCATCCAGCTAGAGAGCTCACTGCACGCAAACTGCGAGACAGGGAATCGCCGCGACAGCTGTAGTACGGGTTTGACCCTCTCTAAAGCAGCAGATAAGAAACTCGCCTCCGGCAATTGTTAAAATGTAGTATTTGCAATGTCAAACAAACTCATGCGTGAGCATTACCGTGAAAGGATCGTCGAACTAGGTTATGATATTTGGCAGCACATCGCTGCCATAGGCGTCACGTATAGCGCGAAGCGGGTTATAAATACTGAAGACAACGCAGCTTGCAAACGGTCAGTTGTTGAACATGTTAGTACAGACAGGCCGGGTCAGGGACATTCGAAGGTAAGTTATATGTTTAAAGATGTCTGACCAATATACAGAGCATGAGTGATAATATAAAATCTGTATTACGTAAAATAAGGGCGGAAGTGCATTTGTGTGAGAGAAGAGAGAGAGAGAGAGTGTGTGCGTTGACGAAGAGAGAGAGAGACGAGAGAGAGGAGAGAGAGAAGAGAGTTGTGTGTGTGTGTGTGTGTGTGTGTGTGTGTGTGTGTGTGTGTGCGGGTGTGTGTGTGTGTGGTGTGGGCGAGAAAAAGAGAGAGAAGAGAGAAGAGAGAGAGAGAGAGAGAGAGAGAGAGAGAGAGAGAGACGGGAGTTAAATTACTCTTACGATTCAGAACAATAGTATATTTGCTTAGACATTTGAAACAAAATTCTCTATTATTTTAGAACGATGAAGCTAATAGTCGTCGCAGTGTTGCTTGGCTGCGTTGCCAGCGTATGTCCTCCCGGATATGGCGGAGGCGGAGGCCGATATGGTGCGGTTGGGATATGGAGAGCGAGAGGCCGTATGGTGGCGGTGGATATGGAGGAGGCGGAGGCCGATATGGTGGCGGTGGATATGGAGGAGGCGGAGGCCGATATGGTGGCGGTGGATATGGAGGAGGCAGGTTCGGCGGAGGCGGATATGGAGGAGGCAGGTTTGGCGGAGGCGGCGGATTCGGAGGAGGCAGGTTTGGCGGAGGCGGCGGATTCGGAGGAGGCAGGTTTGGCGGAGGCGGCGGATTCGGAGGAGGCAGGTTTGGCGCGACGGTCGGACCGGATTCGAGGA